CAACTCTCGGCACCCCTCGCTGGTCACAGCAGCAACAACATCTAGCACCACCACCGGCACTCCAAGCGAGCTGGGAGAGGAACGACAAGGCTAGAGTCCTGTGTGTAAGAGCTTCCAATCGGTGGGTATGCAGTGATTTGGGCCTGCGCAGATTTGGGCCCAGGAAAATGAAAGCCCACGCAGGAACTTGCCTGATAGCAGCGCCAAACGAACATCCATTTAGTGACAATGGTGCGCTATTAGCCGCTAATAGCAAAAAAAATCCTATAGCGCCAAATGTGAAATAGCTTAGCGTCCGACCTCCCCAAACACTATAGCCCACTAAAGATGCCGCTAAATCCCGCTATTTAGAACATTGGGTATTGCTAGCTAGCATAGTTGTAAATTCCATACCGGTACCAGCCGGTCATACCGGAATGGCCAGAATGCCTCGTACCGGCACCTAGACCGGTATAGAAGAGCCGCAATCCCGTATCGGGTCAAATACCGGCCAATGCTGGTCAAATACCGGCCAATACCGGGCGTGGCTGCATGTATTTTATTTTTCCATGTATGAATTTTGGAGTTTGAACTTTGAAATAATGTCTTATGAACTTACTGGATGATATGTTAGTTTGGTAAAAATGGTAATTACGTCATAAGTTAAATTGGTATATATTTTATGCACATTTATGTATAAGTATATTCATATATTATTATTATTATAAAGTCCGGAACGGTATGCCAGTACGGGCCAGTACCAGAATGCTCCATTCCAATAGGCAAAACAGAATGGCCTCCAGAATGGAATTTACAAGATAGATTGCTAGTCAAGAAAAGCTTCAACAGAAAAAGAATAGGAAAGAAAGTGTAGTAACAGTAGGAAGCATCAGCATAAGGAGGAAGCAACCCGGCGTACAGGTTGTCCTTGCTCTACCACTGCAAGCATGCTCAGGTTGATCCTCCCATGGCTCCTGCTCGTTTTTAGTCAAGCAGAGGCCTCGGACGGATGCCAACAATTGCTTTTAAAAAAAACATTTAGCCTAGTGGTTACAAATATCTCGGTAGCACCGCAAGTCCTAGGTTCAACCCCCTGGTAGCGAATATTGATTTAACAGTGTGATTTGTGTGCGTATATTCATAGGACGTGTACGTACGTTGTAAGTGTTTGCATTGTGTTGTATAATCACAAATAAAATTGCTCCTTTTTGAGTGAAGCGGAGGCCTCGGATGGATGCCACGTTAACATCGAAATCAACAGAGTGCTAGATTACGGAACATATACTCACTTTCAATGATACTTTACGATGCGATGAACTTTTGATAGTATTTTCCGAATCTCGTGTTCTTTTAATGCTATGAAACCAATTTTTTCTTCTTCTTACTTTTATATATTTCTAAGGAATAATAAAAAATTATTAGACAAAAACTCTTTTAGGAAAGAAAAACAAATCCACATACCATATACAAATGGATGATACATATATCCGGAAAGAAGGAATATAAATATACCATATACAAATGGATCATACATAATATCAAAAAATGGTATACGATAGTGTAGTCAGTATTAGACCCATAACCCCAAGATTATAATGCTTGTGTATATCTATATCTATATCTATATCTATATCTATACCTAATAATAGAGAGGCAAAATTTTAGCCCATTTTTTTGTCCATCTATTTTTTCCGTCTTTCTCTAACTACCGGACAATGGAGAGTTTCTTCTGTCCGGATTTATATATATAACACGTGCTCAAACGAGTTAGAATAGCTCTTATCTAGTGTGACACAGAGTCCGATTCCAAAACATAAAGAGGCAAAATTTCTCTCTATTTTTTTGTCCGGCCCTTCCATAACTACCTAAGTACTCGTGACGAAAGTCTCATAAAATCTATATACGTCTGTTTTTTTCTGTGTTTGTGTGAGTCCAGTTTTGGTTTGAGCACGTACGTGACGTGGTTTGTCTCTAGGCATGAGCCTAGTTTGGGTTCTGCTTTGCTCTGCGCGTGTATGAGTTTCTAACATACACGGGAGGTAACATGCATGGAGTCCTAGATGAACATGAGTTTCTAACATGCACGTGAGGTAACATGCATGGAGTCCTAGCTGAACAGGAACATGTGTTTCATTGGAAAAACAAAACGAATGCTTGTTCGGTTGGAAAAGTATAAATAAAACCAATAAATATAGTTGAAGCTTGGCGTTTGGATGGAAGAAGGCATGAACACATGCAGCCATCATCGGGAAAAAAAATGGAAGTGGTATGCATACGCGCGGCCATGGGTAAGGATGAAAACGGTCGGAAACGGTCAAAAAACTCATAAATTGTTTTCTATTTTTACATTTAAAATACGAAAACGAAAGTGAACTTACGAAATATTGAGACATCCGAAAACGAACCAATTCGAGCGGATTTATGTCGAACACGGTCGATATACGAAAACTCAATACGGAATACTGACCCGTAGGACCAAGTGCATGACTAAGTACATACATGATCAAGTTCAAGTGTATATAATAATTAACAAGTGCATGATCCTTGGTCTTAGATATTTAACACAATAGCCGACACATAAATACAAGTCTAGAACAAGTAATTAGTAGCTAGCAGGATAATAGGAATTAAAATTAGATGTAGCAACTAGCATACCATTTTAGAATCTAAACTAAAATTAGATGTTATAGAAACGATGAACTCGAACTGAGTCAGGATAATTTTATTAATTTTTTAGAATAGATGTAGTATTTTATTTTAAAGATTTATTTAGATTATTCTTTTGAGTAACAAAGATTTATTCGGCTGAGGCAAAAACTATCGAATGATTGAGACTTCGCAGGTGGGGGTTAAACCGATGAGCTTGATGGGCTATGGCCCAGGTGGGCATTCGTGTAGATAAGGCTGGACGCCGTCTATAAGAGAGGGCAGCTGGTCACCAGTAGAAAGAACGCAGCTGCGTGGTGAGCAGCCTATAATTGGGCTGTATGACCTATGCAGTTGGCCAAATTCGGTTTAAACCAAATTTTGAATTCAGAATATTTCAAATTAAAAGTAGAAAAGTAGAAAATGGTCGAAAAATATCTAAATCATTTTCTACTTTTACATTTGAAATATGAAACATGTGAAATACGAAAGCGAAAACGGTAAAATCGGATAAGAAAATACGGATTTGATCAGATTAAATATAGAAAACGATGTGGTTTGGTTCAGAATATTTCCGTTCCGTTTTCATCTTTAGCCATGGGTACACGTTCCTGATTGATAGGAACGTCTTGAAATCCGACCCCGCCTGCTCCCAGTTGGTTCCCAGAAACACACGACGCTCGTAGCTCGACCAACTCGCAACAATTTCTGGTGAAAAGGATGCCAATCACACGTTGTACCTCCAGGCTCCAGATCTTAGCGAAGGAACTCCATGCGAAGCACCCACACATACTCTTCGCTCACCCACGCCGCCGTGTAGTAGCAAAGAGAAAGCTAGATGGGTATAACATGTCAGTGGACGCTAATAGGTACAACTTCTTCCTGGTCATCTCCGAGAGGACGGGACCGGTCCATGGAGTTCGACCTAATGGATAAGGGGGTGTTTTTTTAGCGCGCCTAAAATTTATTATGTCACGTCACTTTTAAAATTCATGTCGCATTGAATGTTTAGATACTAATAAGGAGCATTAAATATAGATTAATTATAAAATCAATTACATAGATGGAGGCTAATTTGCTAGACGAATTTTTTAAACCTAATTAATCCGTCATTAGCACATGTTTACTGTAGCACTACGTTGTCAAATCATGGACTGATTAGTCTTAAAAGATTCGTTTCGCAAATTAATCGCAAGTTGTGCAGTTAGTTTCGTAATTAGTCTATATTTAATACTCCATACATGTATCAAATATTCGATATGACAGGAATTTTAGGAGCTCCCGTAGAAAACAGCCCTAAGTTCTTTTTCATGCGGCAACATAGAGAGCACGACGAACACTATTCAATCATCCAAAACCGCGTTCGGCTATTCCGGTCCTGGATTGTTTCAGCTTCTTTTAGCTTATTCTCCCTCACAGAACACTATTCAATTATAAAAATCAGCCGAGCTACAGTGCCCGAGTGTACACTCCGAACGCGGTCTTCGATCACTTAGGCCTTGTTTAGATTGCAGTCAAGAATCGGTATTTGGCACTGAAACACCGTCGTTTGTATTTGATAATTATTGTCCAATCATAATCTAAATAGGCTCAAAAGATTCGTCTCGTAATTTACAATCAAACTATATAATTAATTATTTTTTTATCTACATTTAATACTCCATGCATATATCAAAGATTTAATGTGATGAAGAGAGAGTGAAAAAACTTATAATCTAGACAAGGCCTTACCAGTGGACGATCCCATTTATCGAGGGACGAACGATCTGAGCAACCTTTTCATGGGGACACACAAAGGTACTTGGACTCGTCGGATGTCGCAACCACCATGGGAGCTAGCCAAACGGTGGCAAAACTATGGGCATCGGATTTACAAACATAACACGCGGCACCAGTGCGTTGGCTGCCGACGCATTCCTCCATTTCTTCGTCCTAGGCTGGCTCAAGTCTTCTAGACTGCAACGCACAAGCAATTTTGCTAATAAACAAAAAGAAGTTTTGAAACCAAGGCCTTGTTTAGATGCATCCCAAATTCCAAGTTTTTTCACTCTCTCTCCATCACATCAATTTTTAACCGCTTGCATGGAGTATTAAATGTAGGTAAAAAAAATAACTAATTACACAGTTTAGTTGGAAATCACGAGATGAATCTTTTGAGCCTAGTTGGTCCACGATTGGACAATATTTGTCAAATAAGACGAAAGTGGTACTATTCATCGGGTTGAAATTTTTTCGCAATCTAAACGAGGCCCAAGCTGGCCAAGTCCCCTTCGATTCGGGCCATCCCATCCCACACCGAGCAACTCCCCCTTTCGCCTTCGTCCTCCGATCCCAGATCTCAAGCCCCGCCCCAGAACCCAAGCCCCAACTCCACCATGAGGCCGTCGCTGATGAGATCCACGTTCCAGCTCCTCCGCCGCCGGAGCTACTCCTCCGCATCCGGGCAGCCTGAGCGGAAGGTGGCCATCCTCGGCGCGGCGGGGGGCATCGGGCAGCCGCTGTCGCTGCTCATGAAGCTCAACCCACTCGTCTCGTCGCTCTCGCTCTACGATATTGCCGGCACCCCAGGTGTCGCGGCCGACGTCTCCCACATCAACTCCCCCGCCCTGGTACAGTCGCCCTCCTCGTCACGCGCTCTGCTACCCGATTCAGCAGGGTCTGTGTAGTACTGACAGAGCTTGTGTTTTGGGATTTGCGCAGGTGAAGGGCTTCATGGGAGAGGAACAGCTTGGGGAAGCGCTAGAGGGCTCTGACGTGGTAATCATCCCGGCTGGCGTGCCGAGGAAGCCCGGCATGACCAGGGACGACCTCTTCAATATCAACGCTGGCATCGTTAAGAACCTCAGCGCCGCCATCGCCAAGTACTGCCCTAATGTAAGGTCCTTACGGTAGTTCTGTGTCTCGCTTGATTAATTGCTCTGGATCCCGCTGGTGCAGTCTCACTACAGATACCTCTACTGATTGTTCGAGATTTGGGCATTACATTCAGCTGTACAAATGGAAAAGTTGATCAAAATTCGTTACGGGATCTTGAGAGGACACTTTCCTTATTCCACTCTAGCATATATTAGCCTGAGGTAGAGTGTTACCATGGTTTGGTTATGCTATTATCCATTAAAATTGCCATTTTATCTAAAATTTTTTAGTATTTTATTGTGCTATGGAACATTTTTGTGAAGGTTGTTCCAAATTTTCATTTATGTACTCATCTATTTGTCTCAGCATTTGTTGTACCATGTGGTGGAACCATGTAGTTTCCAATAAAAAAAAGGGCGTACCGAGTGCAGAGAGCTTTCGCTCTGTGCGGGGTCTGGGGAAGGGTGTTAGTGGAAGCCTTACCCTCGCCTGTGCAATGCGAGGAGACCGCGACTCGAACCCGGGACCTTCCGGTCATAGGCGGTAAGACTCTACCGCTTGCATCAGCCCCGCCCTTCAACCATGTAGTTTCCAATATCTATTTTAAATCATTGAATATTTTGTGCCTCCAGAATCATCTCTATAATATAGTATTACACAGTTTCTAAAAGAAAATATAGTATTACCCATTTACAATTATGCTGAATGATATGTTGACATACTCTGCCATGTTTCAGTACAATTTTGACTCTCACGCTGTCACGCATCTTATGGTGTCTGTTTTTTTCCCTATGTAGGCCCTTGTCAACATGATCAGCAACCCTGTGAATTCAACTGTACCAATTGCTGCTGAGGTTTTCAAGAAGGCTGGGACATATGACGAGAAGAAGTTGTTTGGCGTGACCACCCTTGATGTTGTTCGTGCTAAGACTTTCTTTGCTGGGAAGGCAAATATACCAGTAACCGGTAATGATTGAAGGTTTACTTCAAAATTGTGGAAATAAAGAAGTATGGTTTTAACAATTTTCTCTCTCTATATATTCCTCTGTTTCCCCACACCGATGTGAATGTCCCTGTTGTTGGCGGTCATGCGGGTATCACCATCCTGCCATTGTTCTCACAGGTAATTTGCTTTGATACTTTTTCTTAAAATCAATGTTTTCATGCCTTGCATATTATTAATCCTCAGTTAGAAATTATAGATGAGATCTGAAATGAGTAGCATGTTCTTTTTTTTTCCATCCATTATTCGATAACATTTTATTATATTTTGTATGCCTATCATACCAAGATAGAAAAAAATATGTTCATTTACCTTATTGAGAGTAACACCTAGGTTTATTATACATCAAATACAAATGTATTACTATCTCTTGCTGGAATTACTTGACGTTGGACAGCCAAATTCGCTGTTAGCTATATCTGGCTGTCCGGATTCAGGAGCATCAAATAACACTTAACTATGGAGTATATATTCTTGCTTTTAGTTGATAATATTTGTTGACAGAAGCCGTCATACCTTGCTTTAGTATGAATAGGAATACGAATACAGCTTACCTCTGGCTAACTTTCTTTTGTCCATTGTGAATCATGATATTGATGCCATGGCTAAACAGTGCGCTTTTATTTTTCAACTTGCAACTTTAAGAACCTGATTCGAGGAGGTTTTCATTTGAAATAGGCCACCCCTGCAACCAACTCATTATCTGATGAAGACATCAAGGCTCTCACCAAGAGGACACAGGATGGTGGGACTGAAGTTGTTGAGGCAAAGGCTGGGAAGGGCTCTGCAACCTTGTCCATGGCGTAAGTGAGAAAATGATGGAAAAAAAACTATGCAGTCTGCACATTTCTTACTACTGTCTTGCTAAATAGGGTTTTTTTTTGCCTTTATCTGTTTTACTAATCAATATTTTCTTACCGTTGCAGGTACGCTGGTGCTGTTTTTGCAGATGCATGCTTGAAGGGTCTCAATGGAGTTCCGGATATCGTTAAGTGCTCTTTTGTTCAATCAACTGTAACAGAGCTTCCATTCTTTGCATCCAAGGTACATGCATATTTACTTCTTTATGGTTGCATTTATGATACACCGATTCATCTGATCAATTATGTACTGCATTGTGCCACTGTTTTCCTTAATGGCAGATGGTTATCCTAGTTCACCTTTTCCTTTTTCTTTTGTGTGTTGATGGTTTTTCTTGGTTTGTCCAGTTGCATGGTTGAATCCTACTTTTTTGTTTGTTTACTAAAAAGCAAACATTTAAGGATGAATTTGATCTAGCTATGCATCTTTCCTAGCTGAGGAAAGGTACATTTTTGAGGCAAAAATCCAATGCAGGTGTCCTTTTATTTTATCTTTTTGTGAAATGGAATATGTTATTTCCTGTTTTATTTTTGATTGATCGTGTCGTTAAAACTTTTGACCTTTTGGTACATGGAGTGATATTTGTGGCCATAGTGGCCTTGGATATGTTTTCACACACTGGATGCATTTGCATGGAATGTATGTTTGGTGTCTGGTGCTAATGTGCTATGACACCATCGCAAGTACCACTTCTGATTTGTACCAAGTCTTCACCATATTGTAGTATGGCATCAATTTTCCTTTTGCGTTATAGCTACAAGGTACAAAATTGTGCATGCAACAACAGTTTTTGGAAGTCTCTGGATCATTATATGCTCTCTGGTAAAAAATACGACTTGAAAATCATACGTGTAGATTTATCTTGAAGCATACTTTCATAATATCACAAATTTATTAGATTTTATAATGCCATGTGAGATGGTAAATCTTTGTAAAATGTAGTGGTCAAAGTTAGTCGCTACACAGTACAGACTATGCCATGTTGTGAACAAGTATTCAAACCAGAGAGTATTTTCCTTGTTGGTACTTGGCAGTGTACTTCTGGGACTTTTACCTTGTAGTCACTGTGATATATTTGTGCTGTAGAAATCTTAAATTTGAGCCATAGATTCAAAACATTGAGCCTTTTGATGTTACAGGTGAGGCTTGGGAAGAATGGACAGCCTTTTCGTTTCGTCGTAAACGATCGTGGATTATTTACTGCTGGCTGGTTTGGTGTGAGAGAAAAATACTGTTCCAGCTTATAATCCACGATCGTATACGAGCACGAGTTGAGGAAGTGCTTGGGTTGGGCGAGCTGTCGGACTTTGAGAAAGGGTTGGAGAACCTCAAGAGCGAGCTCAAGTCTTCAATTGAGAAGGGTATCAAGTTTGCAAATGAGAACTAGACAAGGCCTTTTGCAGATTATAGCACCAATTGAAACTTGTAGTTACGGGATGTTCTGATTTCATTCTACCCTTTTCTGCCCCTTTTGTGAGGGAGTGGAAGGATTTGAGCTCTATTACAATAAAAAACCTGGTGGCTTTTATTGCCAGGCAGGACATAACTTGCACGAGTCGCCAAAAAAAAAAGACAACTTGCACGACGGATTTATTCCAGCAGGCAACATAGCTTATGTCAAGTTTTGAACTGAACCGGTCGTTTATGCGCTTTCTGCCTTTTAATCGACGGTGCTGTCTTGTGTGTGTATTACTACCAATTTGGCATTGCAATTTGCATGCCGCAACCAGGGATGAAAAAAAAAATACACTCAGGCCTTATTCGGATGTTGTCGGATTCACCTCGATCCATATGTGTTGGAGTGGAATTTAGTTCAACTTCTACTCCAAACACATGTGGATTGACGTCAATCCGACTATACGCAAATAAGGCCGCAATAGGTAGGGCTGGATTAAAAACTCAGTTACTCTTCGGCTCAAGCGGGCTCAAGTTTTTGAGGGTGCAGATATTCAAAGCTAGCAGATAACCATGGAGGGAAAAGTCCATTTGAGGGATGAAAGCTAAAGAGAGCGTTCGTGCCCATCTATCTACTGTATCTGAATAGGAGAACCCCACTAGCTATTTCTCTGTGATTTCGCAAAGCCACGTCATCCTACGGGCCCCACAAGCCACTACCCCCTGCGTTTCTCCTTTGAAGTCATGCCATGCGGTTGTAGCTGAACTGCTGAAGGGTCTCCTCCGTTCCCATCAGCCAGCGTTCACAACTCATGCATCTGTTCCTTCCCAATTCCATAAACTGGTAGTGGTAATTCCATAAACTGGCAGTGGTAGACGAAATGAACGGTCATTTTTGGCCACCGGTCTTCTGTCTACTCCACTACTACCCCACCCACGAGTTGCAACCCTTTTATTAGAGACTTTTCCCTGTGTGCCATTATAAAAGATCGTAATCCCCTGTGTGTCTCTGGAAAAATTTAGCGGTCTTTAGCGCCACTACTCCAACTTTTTCGGGTCCTCCTTGCCACTTCCGTCAGTTCAGGCTCTAACGCCGTCAAACTGCAGGTGTGAAAAGACGAAAATGCCCTTAAGTTCAAATATGTTATTAATTTTTTTGAGCATCTTAACGACTTCAAATGAAAAAACTCAAAACTAGATGAGTTGTATATCTTAGAAAAATCATATAATTTTTTTATAAATTAAATATTTTCATTTTATATGAAAATTATAGAAAAAAATATGATTTGATATCTATTAATATATTTTAGAAAAAGTCATCAGATGCTTTTAAAAAATTAAATAAAATTTGAACTTAATATTTTCGCCTTTTCACACCTGTAATTTGACGGCAAGTAGAGCCTCGAATCGATTTGAAGTGGCATGGAGGACCCGAAAAAGTTGAAGTAGTGGCGCTGAAGACCGCTGAATTTTTCCAGAGGCACAGAGAGGATTACGATCTTTTATAATGGCACACAGGGGAAAAGTCTCCTTTTATTAAACCTGAGCCATCCCTGCGTGTCCAGCGGTGACGACGGTGGCAGTGAGTCGAGCGGCAGCAGTGGTGGTGTGCGTCGGTACCCACATCGAGGGACCGTTGATGTGCCAATTTCGCTCTGTGCGACAACACGAGTGCAGTCGTCACGATGATGGCCACCGGCAGCGGCGCCGGGGGCACGCCCTTCCTGCGGACCTCCGCCTCAACCGAGTGTGCAGTGTCTCCAGATCGACCGAGGCAGAAGTTGCTAGCGTGGGCGTACAGTGTCTCCAGGAAGAAGCTAGCGCTGGCTGACAGCGGTTGTGCGGCAGATTCGGACAACCGATATTGCGGCATGGTGGTGGAAGAAATTTGCAGTCGCGCGGAACGAAGAAGGAAGAGGCAGCGATGACGGAAAAACGAGGTTGGGCTTTCGGGCGTCTATTTCTCTTCTTTCTATATACTATATGAATATATGATCATGAAGCCCGCATAACTGTTGGCAAAGAGTCCAACTTCTCTCTGCCTGTGTCGTCTAAGGTCTAATGCTGTTCACCTTGCTTCACGAAGGGAAGAGAAGGGGATTCGGTCACGGGATGAATCAGGGGAGCTGCCGCATGCTGCTGTGGATAAGATAGGCACGGTTCAATCATTATTTAAATATATGTAAAGTTTTTTTTGTCTTGCCGTTGGGGAAGGGGACTCAAAATCAGAAAAAGGGTGATTGAAGTTAGATGTGAAAACCCATTTGTTTTTCCTAATATAAACATTGTGCCATCTAATCTAATTTTTCAAGGCGTGTTCTTTGTGTAGTCATGTGCCACTTGCTAATTGATAAGCTGTACAACAAGACGTTTTTATAGCTTCCACATAGGTAGTTGGTGTTTTTCTCTTTTTGTCATGTATAATCCAATTTCTTTATCAAAACATATTATTTTTCGCAAAAAATATATTATTCTTTATGTCATCATGTAAGATTTCCGGAGCAACGCGCGAAGTATCATCTGGGTTTTCATCCTCCCACCGTCTCGCCGACCTGCTCGCTAATCGCTAGTGTATCAAACTAACTCCGTGGAAACTGGAATAAGGTTGAGAGCAAGCCTAGATACTGAACCCGGAGCTCCAAAACCATGGCCTTCTATCATCCAATGGTGAGTACCTTTGCTTTTCTTTTCTTTATTTATTTTTCTTTTTTCTTACAAAATTAGCTTCTGTTGCTATCAGCGTGGGATTGCTCCCTATAAACTATTTTTGAAGAAACTGACCCGTAGAAATTGATGTAGCAGTTGATCAGGCTTATCAATCGCAGTCAGACGCTGATGTCGATATTGGTTTGGTGACGCTGAGGCGTTCCCCAATAAGACTTGTTCGGCCTCTTCGACGGCGTGCCCGTCTCCCCGAGCTGATTCGCCATGCCTTCCTCAGCCTCCGCGAGAGGAGGACGAGGGCTCCTCTTGCCGGCGGCTGCGGCGGCGGTTGTGGTGCTACTATTGGATGCAGTGGCGCCAGCGGCGGGTTGCTATCAGCGCGTGTTCAGCTTCGGGGACTCGCTGGCGGACACCGGCAACTACCCGTTCGTCTACGGCAACGACTCTGGCGCGGCCGCGCTCCGGCCACCCTACGGCGAGACCTTCTTCCACCGCGCCACCGGGCGCGCCTCCAATGGACGCCTCGTGGTCGACTTCATCGGTAAGCTACCTACACTAACACTACGGAGCTAGTACCAAACAATCGATCGATCGACCGATTGATCAATTAGACTGCGTGGCAGTGGCAGTACTGATTTGAGATTTGGGATTCATTCACGTGGTCGCAGCGGACACACTGGGCCTCCCGTTCGTGCGGCCGTATCTCAGCGGACGGAGCGCGGAGGACTTCGCGTGCGGGGCCAACTTCGCCGTGGGCGGCGCCACGGCGCTCAGCCCGGATGAAATCCGTGCAAGGGGTTTCGACAACATGGGCAATCAAGTGGGCCTCGACATGGAGATGGAGTGGTTTCGCGATCTGCTCGACCTACTCTGCCCCGGCAACCTCGCCGGTATGCATGTCCTGTCTCACCTCCTCGTCTCCTCCGGTTCCATGCTTCCCCATTTGACGGGTTCGCACGCCCAAGCAAGCCTTGCCGCTTTGCCGGCGCAAGGGAGCCGAATCGGCCCGCCTGATCTTATCGAAGGAAACGCTTGCTTTCACGGCACCGAGGCAGCCGACAACGGATCCAAACACGTTGACATTTCCAGCTTCTTGCCCAGCCCAGCTAGGCAAGGCGAGCGCTGGCAAGGGATCCAGGCAAAATCGTACTGGTACCCTGGTAGGTGAGGAAAGTACTAGCAAGTTGGAGTAGAAAGCAATTTCTAGAAGATACAGTGCAGTGAACTGCCGGGAGTTAAGAGACGGAAGCTGAAAGATGTGTGGTGCAGAGATGGACGCTGAATTATGTGTGGAACAAGGGTGGGACCATGGGAGTCTAAACACATGTGGAAGTTCATCTTCGCTACTTGGTTTAGATAAAAAACATAAAAACTGAAAATTCTGCTTCTAAATCGAATCTGTCATTTTCCATTTATGTTTTGTAGTTATATGCCCCCTACTATATTAAATATATGCTTGGCAGAGCTCCTGCCAGCTCTTTCAAAACAAAAATAAAAAAGGAAATCAATGATTGATAGTATCAGCTCAACCAATACAAATAGCTGGCCAATTCATATCAGTCACTCTATTGGCGATTTCAGCAGAAGACATGCAGAACATTTTGCTGTCATTTTTTTTTTAATTTTATGGCACCCGAACGATCACCAATATTAGTGTTCTTCCAGTAGGCAAGCTTATGGTAAGAATTGTGAAATGAACTGTTAAATCTCTACAAGCACTGTCATGCTACAAGACCAGAAATCAACTGTATGCATCTATAACTAGTTGAGCTCATAATTTCACTTGTTTGGAATAGATATAGAATAATTAGTGAGAAAGAACTGTTCAAGCAAGTGCTTTTACTTCCTCTTGACATAGCGTGTTGCGGTCAAGAAATCCGTTGCTGTGCTTCAAAACATATTGTATGATCAATCTGACTTGTTCCAAACCATATATCTACAGTCAATTGTTCTGAGCTTGTGAACACTCCAACTAGGGATGAGCAGTAGTCAAAAGCCTTTAACCACTTTTGATTTCATATTTTTACCAAAAACGGAAACATGATTGGGAACACTGGCTAGGAAAACGGAAACAGTTATGTCGGGAAATCAGAAACAGAATAATTCGGTCGGGAACCAATAATTCAAATCAGGGACACTATACTACATGACCATGAGTCCATGACTTCAAGATTTAGGTGGCACAAGCAAATTATATAAGATCATATAAGTCCACAAATCATGAGGTATGGTGAGCTTATCAATGCACATTTCCATAGAAAAGTCAACTAGCAATTTCTTTTAATTATCGTGATCTACCTTGGGCAAAGAATAATTAGCTGTAAAAAAAGAACATGAAAAGGGAAAGAAATGCAAAGACTGGCCAAACTATCTGCTGTGAACGAACATGGGTCACTATTTTTGGGAGCAAACTCCCAGGATTGTGAATGAACTTGGGCCAAGCCATCTGTGTGAGTTTCCTGCCGCTTGACCCGAAAAAAAAAAGCACTAGCAGCGCAACAGTTAGCACTCTGCAGTATGCACTCTGCAAGGCAAAGCATTCATCCCACCTTGCTATGGGAACAAGAACTGGTGCCCAGGACTCCAGTAAGGTTGATGTTTTGACTGAGCTGATAAATATTAAATTTTAATAATATGGGGTTTGGCGTTTGAGCCTGAAAAACGGGAACTTTCCTGGATAAAAAACAGGAACTTTCCCCTATATAAAAACAGGAACAGAGAATACGGTCAGGAAAACCTTTCTCCTGATTATCCTGTTTCCATATTTTACTGAAAGTACAGTAAATGACCGGTAAATATGATAAATGGTGTCGGTCGGTACGGGATTTCCCCGTCCTGTTTTTATCCCCAGCTCCAACTGCTATGGAATGCCTTAGTTTTATCAAAACGTGGAATGCAGTAATTTCATCACCTTCTTTTGTATGATGTAATCTCTATATGCTGATTCGGAATCATGTTTGTCGCACAGGTTGCTCAGATATGATGAACCAATCTCTCTTCTTGGTTGGAGAAATCGGGGGCAATGACTACAACTTTCTTCTTCTTTCTGGAGTTCCCTTGGAGAAAATTCACACCATCACTCCGAGTGTTGTTGCGAAAATTTCTTCTACAATCAGCGTGAGCATTAGTTTTTGTTGTAGGTGTTGTGGCTGCTAACATTGTATATAGATAGCAATTTATAATGAATTGAGTTTGCAGGAATTGATTCGGCTAGGAGCCAAGAATCTTGTGGTTCCAGGAAACCTCCCTATTGGATGTGTCCCGGACTATTTGATGATATTCAAGAGTGATAAGGAAGAGGATTATCAACCACAGACAGGTTGTCTTAGGTGGATGAACGAGTTCTCACAGTACCACAACAAGCTTCTTGTGGAGGAGCTTAAGAAGCTTCGCAAGCTCCATCCTGGAGTAACCATCATCTATGCGGATTACTTTGGAGCTGCTATGGAGATTTTCCTTTCCCCTGAACAATATGGTAGGCTCAGATATTTTCCTTTATTTTCTACTATGAAATTTAATCTCTACTTATCTGAAGATTGTTTGACAGACTACAATTCATGCCATCAAGCTTTCAGAAACTATTTATTTAGGAAACCAAGGCTCACAAGGCTAAGTAGGCCTTTGGTTACTGTTAGTCACCATGCTTTACTTGTATTTTAGATTCATTTTCGCTGTTGTTGTTGTTGTTAGATTCATTTTCGCTGTTGGTACTTCAATTTTGAGCAATGCGTTTGATGCATTTAGCTGACCAGCAAATGGGAGTTTGTTTGATTATGTTTCTTGTGGAGTCCTAATACCTAGTATCAAATTACATATAGTGAGCACATAATTAGCATTGTATAACATCACGCAGAACTGGCAGTTTAGACCACTTAGCATTATTCTTTCCTTCCTTTTTATTGGATGTTCCTATTGCCACAGTAGTATAAATGTATTCTATGAATAGTATAAAAGGGTTAAAAAAACTCTTCTCGGCGATATAGTTAATGTTGCCATAACTGTTTTTTTTATGTGCGCCATAACTGTTGTTCAGGGATCGAACATCCCCTAGTGGCTTGCTGTGGTGGAGAAGGACCCTATGGTGTGTCCCCAACTACAAAATGTGGATTCGGAGAATATAAGCTGTGCGATAACCCAGAAAAGTATGGATCATGGGATGGCTTCCATCCATCAGAATCTGCATACAGGGCCATTGCTACGGGCCTGCTACTAGGTTCCTACACAAGTCCGTCAATTGCTTCCACCACCACTTCATGTCCACAGCTTATGGAGCTCGGCTCTTCTGCTGAATACAAACCCCTCTACGACCTGTAATCATTTTGTATATGTTTAATTGTATGTACTCCATCGCCCACTTCTATAAGTTCCATTTTGATATCGACAAGCGATACTTTGTAACTTTTAACTAATAACTTGTGAACCTAGCTACTGTATGTTTGTTAGAGTGCATGGTTAGATCTAGATTCTATTCAATCCACTAACAAAAAATGCACAGTAGGGGGTTGCCCTCTCCTGTTTCCCTAAAAAAATGCAGAAGTATAAACCACATAGAAGAAAATACACAAGTGAGAACAATACCGAGGCACGATGTTTTTTTTTAACGAGGTTTAGTTATTTGCCTATATCCTTGGGGCATTGGTTACGTTACGGGCGCTCCTAATAAAATAATAGCTAGTTGCCTCGTGGCCTCATCGCTGCTCAAACCAATCGTCGAGTCGTCCCTTGGTTATTGTGAACTTCTAGACTCCTTGGATAAATGATTTCAATGGTTAACGACAATCTTGCATGTGTGACTAATATGTGTATTTGAAGAGGTAGGTTTCATGGGTGTTGGGTCACTGTAAGGTCGAGATGGCGGACTAGAGGAGTGTGAATAGTTCCTTCTAAATTTAATCGCGCCGGCTAACCGAAACAAATGCGAAATTAAAACAGTCGGTCTAGCCAAAACTACACCCCTCTATCTATGTTCTCTAGCACCTCGCAGAGACCCTAATTAAGCAACAAAGGTGCCGGGCTAGTTAGAGCTCACATATCCAATTTTAGAATAAGGTCACACAAACCTGTGCCACTAGTACTTTAAGTAACGAGGGAGCTCCTACACATGCTAGTGAGCAAAAGCACAAAACCACATAAGCTCACTAGCAATGCTCAATAACAAGACAACCAATGTCAAATTAGAGAGCGCAAATACTTACCTACACAAACTAAGTAATGTGACTAACAAGGTTATACAAACCAAATTAGCCACGCAAGGGAGCTACTTCTATGCTACACAAGCAAAAAGATAACTAGTGAGCTACACAAGCTAACTAATTAAAAGAGCAACTACACAAGCACAATGTAAACGAAGTAAATACAAGCTTATGTTGTGCGGAAAGCAAACCACCGAGAAGATGATGAAGACAATGTTGACACGGTGATTTTCTCCCGAGGTTTATGTGCCTGCCAACGCGCTATGTCCCCGTTGAGACAAGCTCCAAGGTTGCCGCCGGTCCTCTTGCTAGTGGTAACCCGCAAGTCACACTCTCCCACGTGGAGTGCTTACCACAAGCTCTAGCACTTGACCCGACCAGACCACTTGTCGCCCTTCGCGTCTCGCTCTACTAGAGTTGCCCTTCGTGGATCCCGCGGGGCAAGCACAATGGCCCTCACAAATCTCTTCTCCAGAGCACCCCACAAGCTTCTTACGGGCTTCGACGGAGACCACCACCAAGCCATCTAGGAGGTGGCAACCTCCAAGAGTAACAAGCACCACCGGCTTACAACTCGATCACCTAGTGCCACTCGATGCAACCTCACGATGCAATCGCACTAGAATTGCTCTCTCACACAATCGGATGATCACTATCAAGCATATGTGAGATGGAGGGCTCCTAAGCACTCTCAAGCATGGACACAAAGTCCCCTAAGGTGCTCTACCACAGCCATAGCCGAGACCCCCTTCTATTTATAGCCCCCACGAAAATAGAGTCGTTGTACCCCCTTCATATCGACCGGACGCACCCTGCCAGCGTCCGGTCAACAGATGCATGCCACGCGTCGCATCCGTTCAACCTCAATCGCTTGATCTCAACGGTCGGCTTCACACGCCAACGGTTAAGTTGGGATCGGATGCAGCACAGTGAGATGACCGGACGCTGCTACGCCTGAGTCCGGATGTTTCCAGAGAGCTCCTCGAGCCTCTGTTTTGTGACCAGACGCGTCCGATCATAGGTGATCGGACGCGTCCGATCAGCACTGACTTCTCACGCCTACCTGCGTCACCATACGTCACACGTGACCGGATGTGCCCTGCCAGCGTCTGGTCACTTTCAACGTCAGTGTCCAGTCAAAGACCGACGCCTGCACACTCTCTGTTGTCTCTGACCGGACTCGTCAGCCAGCGTCTGGTCACTTCCAGAGAGCTCCCTGAGCGACCAGACGAGTTCGGCCACACATGACTGGACTCGCTCAGAGTCCGGTTAGTCTCTGCTGACTGACCGACGCCTAGAGTTAGCCATCGGACGCGTCCGGTCCCACGGGGACAGCGTCCGGTGCACTCTGTGAAACCCTGTCTTTTCTGTACAGGGCGCCGGTGGCACCATCGGACTGTTCACACTCTACGGGCGGACACTCCGCCGGTGAAGTTTTGAACCCTTGCTCCCAAGTGCTAAACACAATGTGTATCACCTTTGTGCATGTGTGTTAGCATATTTTCACAATCATTTTCAAGGGTTAGCCACTCAACTTGCCACGCCACTCGATCCTAGCAACGATGCAAAGTTAGATCACTCGAGTGGCACTAGATGACCGATATGCAAGCAAGTTTGCCCCTCCTAATAGTACGGCCATCTATCCTAAACCCGGTCGTCAACTTCTCTACACACCTATGATCGGTCAAATGAAATGCCCTAGGTTATACCTTTGCCTTGCGCATTCCATTCCATCTCCTCCAATGTCATGCAGCACATGCACCGACACGATCAACAATGATATAATCCACTTCATATCATCATGTGATCATATTGGCTCATCGATCTTGACTTCACTTGCTCTTCACCGTTGCCTTCATCCATCAGCGCCAAGTCTTGCTCAAGCTTCACCGCCACGTGGTCCATCGCTCCAAAGCCTCCAACTTGCCCTTCACGCTTGCAACCAGTCCATCAAGCCAAGTCATGTCTTGATCTTCTCCACCTTGATCACATGACTCAATGTCATGTCTCATGTGCAATGAGCTCCTTCATCATCACATGTGTGAGCTTTGCAACATCTCTAAGCCATTTCCACCTTCATGGCATATGTTGCTCACACATATGTACCTGTGGACTAATCACCTATGTATCTCATATAAACACAATTAGTCCACCTAGGGTTGTCACTCAATTACCAAAACCAAACAAGGACCTTTCAGTCACAATTGACGAAGGTGAAGAAGTCCTCAATAGTTGATGTAGAAGCTATTCCAGGACAAACCGACATGTGTGGCTAACGTATGATTTGGAGAATCAAGTGTAACATTAGGCCACAATGTATGAAGGTGAAGACATTTATTCCCAAGAGTTGATGATAAGACGATCAAGTACTCAAGAGGACTCAAGACATGTATCCCCAAGAAGCATTGTCTCCTAAACAATTCTTGTACCAACGATTACAACTAAGCAAGCTACACAATGTAAGCAACTACTCGAATTACACAACTCAAGACTAGAATAGCTAAATAAGCAATTACACAAGCACAAAATTATCAATGTAAATTCAAGTGCAGAGAAGTCAAACCAACGAGAGCAAGAGACATAATGATTTACACTAAGATTCGGTTGCTTGCTAGCAACCTACAAATGCGTTGTGGAGCCTTTCAAGCCCTCAAGATTGGCCCCAACGTGGGCGCTTGTGTATAAGCTGGCTAGTCAACAAGGCACTCCAACAAGGCTCGAGAAAAAACACTAGCGGTTGTTCTTGCAATCTCCGCGATGATGAGCACCAAGCCTCTCACAATCAATCAATCGGGGCACCCGCACAATCACCAAGTGGTGCTCAATGATCCCAATCAGCTCTAAGCCGTCTAGGTGGTGGCAATCACCAAGAGTAAAAAGAAAAAGTGCAGCCACCACGCTTCTCTAGCGCCACCAAATGCTAATCAACTAAGCAATGCACTAGATCACTCAATCTCCAAATGCAATCTCAAACAAGCCTTAGTAGGTGAGTGTGTTCTTTAGCTCAAAGTGTATGCAAGTATCAGCAAAGGGTGCTAAAGTATATTCACCCTGTTTGCTGATGTTAAATTTTGGCTTATGCTGATGTTTATGCTGAAATGTTATGAGAGAAAAATATTGTTACATAACTGAAAAATAGTTCTGAATAAGCTCAAGCGAACATGGCCATTATCTTAACGGCACTCCTAGTGCCCGGACGCCCGGATTCAGGGGCGCGTCCGGACGCACCTCCGGCCCCGTCCGAGTGTCCCGCCCCCACACACGAAACCACGCCCGTCGCCCCCCCCGAAACAGTAGACTCGTTTCAATCCCCGACCAAAACAACAGAGCACCTAGCGCTCACCGCCTCACGGAACAGTAGACTCGTTCTGTCCCGCAGGCGCTGCCATCCCGCCATCCCACCGCGCCGCCCATCCCCCCGCCATCCCGTCTCACCGCACATCCCCTCGCCGCGCCCACGCTAGGTGCGTCGCATCCTCACCACTCTCCCAACCGAAGTATTACTTGTTTGCAACATCAAACAAAGCACAATGCGAGATGCAACATCAGAACAAGTCTACTGCAACATTAGAACAACGCGACTGCAACAACAGAACAAAGTTATTGCAATACGAGATGCAACATCAAGAAAACAAATAATGCAACGAAGAAATATTACTTGTTGCAACACCATAGCAAGGCTACTGCAACAAAAAACAGAACAAAAGCGCAAATGCGAGAAATGAACATCAGAAAAAAAAACTAATGCAACAAAGAAAAATTACTTGTTGCAACAGCAAAACAAAGCTACTGCAACAATAGAGAAACAAAAGCGCAATGCGAGATGTAAAATTAGAAAAACAGACTAATGCAACAAAAAAGAATACTTGTTGCAATAGCAAAACAACGCTACTGTAACAACAGAAACAAAAGCGCAATGCGAGATGCAGCATCATAAAAAAAAGATTAATGCAACAAAAAAAACTTATTGCAACAGCAAAACAACGCTACTGCAACAGAGCTCGCCGGAACCCTAGCCATCGTGGCGTCCCTTAGATCCAGATCCAGAGGAGGAGGAGAAGGAGGAGGAGAAGGTGGAGGAGGAGGGCTCAGATCCAGAGAAGACCCACCTACCTTGTCGGAAGCAGCCGCCGTCGCCTTCCTCTCCGGTGGCATGGAGGTCGCAGAAGGAGGGAGGGAGGGGCGGCTCGCCGGAAGCCACCGTCGTCGCCCTCCTCTCCGGTGGCATGGAGGTCGCGAAGGGAGGGAGGGAGGGGCGGCGGCGCGCGCTGCGTGCCAGCAGCGAGAGAGTGGAGGAGCGGGCGAGCAGAGCGAGAGTGCGGCGGTCACGGGACACGGGATGGGAGGGAGTCGAGCGGATAAAGGGCGCCGTGCGGTCGAATCGTTCCTGTGCGGGTCCGTCCGGACGGGACGGACGCCCGCACAGTAGAGTTATCATTATCTTAAACATAAGAATTATATATTAGGAGAGTACTTTTATATCGAATCAAGTAGTGTTAATCTTATGTAATCTAATTAAGATATTTTTTTGAATAATTTAGTTAAGATATTGCTTGTGAAAGTTTAAAGATGCTTAACTGAACACAGATCTAATGTATTTACAAGCAGAGCAAGTACACGTGTATCGTCGGTGCTTTGCTGCGGACTGGGGACAAAGTAGGATAAAAGCTTTCTTCTAGCCAGAGGAAGCAAAGCTGAACCTGAAAGAATGAAAGTCCATGTGTGCTGTGTTTGCAGATCCACCGGTTCAGGTAAGCTGCTGTACCAAAGGTCTTGTGTGTGCAAAAAATAACGCATTTTACGTGCACCCCAACTCGTATATAAGATTAAGGGCCTTTTGGTACGACTTATGCCGGTTTCGACTTCATCTATTTTGCGTAAATTGAGGCACTGTAGCATGAAGCCGTTTTGTAAGTCGGGGTTAAAATGAACTAGAAGCCAGGAAAAGCCAGCTTTTCTGGCTTCACCGGCTTTGGCTTCACCGATAAAGCCGTTTTGGATGAGCCGTGTCAAAGGGGGCTTAAGTATTAAATTGATCATTTTAATGCAGCCTAGAACTGTGCATCCTTTTCAAATGAGCAGAGCACGCACGGCACGGCACATGAGAGACAGCTCCAGGTCTCCAACCCCACTGTCTAGCGGGCCACACATCAATGCAGGCCCACAGGACACGTGTCCATCCGTTTGCTTGCACTCACGACGTTTATAAAAGCAGAGGAGTCAGCCATCTTGCCTGCCCCAAATCAGACTCGTTGAATTCAGTTTCTTCTACGGTCGCCTCGAGCCGCGCGTGCCGACGTGACACCCCGAGGAAAGAGGCCATGGCGTCCTCCGCCCCCGGGAGAGGAGGAGGACAGCCGATCCTACGGGCCGGGGTAGCGGCGGCGGCTGTGGCTGTGATGCTAATAGTTGGGGTGGAGCCGGCGGCGGCGTGCTACCCGCGCGTGTTCAGCTTCGGGGACTCGCTGACCGATACCGGCAACTTCAGATTCTACTACGGCAACAACTCCGGCGAGCCCGCGCTCCGGCCACCCTACGGCGAGACCTTCTTTCGCCGTGCCACGGGGCGCTTCTCCAACGGCCGCCTCGTCCTCGACTTCATCGGCATAAACTACATACGCCCATCATCACTCGATCGTTCGATCAAATTAGCCTGTGATGCACCGGTAACTGATTTGAGATTCGGCGTGCCGCTGCAGCGGACACGATGGGGCTCCCGTTCGTGCGGCCGTATCTGAGCGGTCGGCGCGCGGAGGACTTCGCGTGCGGTGCCAACTTCGCCGTGGGCGGCGCCACGGCGCTCGGCCCGGACTTCTTCCGCTCCAGGGGTTTCGAAATCGGCGACGGACGGGTGCACCTAGACTTGGAGATGAAGTGGTTTCACGATCTGCTTGAGCTCCTCTGCCGCAGCGGCCGCTCCGGTATGGTTGTTCCCTTAATCCCTTTTACCTCCTCCTCCTCCCTTCGACCTGGCCTTTGCAATTCTACTGCTATTGGGGAGAGAAGAAATTCTAGTGGTAGTGGGGAAAGTAGCATATTGCAATGAACAAAAAAAAAAGTTCGATATATAAGATGTGGTGTACAGGTGTTTGGCGATGGAACGAGAAAGGTGCGCGTGCGATGCAAAGGTGTTGATAGGGAATGTTTGAATTGTCGAAAGTTATCCTTCCAAATCTAAAAAGAAGAAATAGACGGGTGAATGGTGATAAAACAATTCATCATTGATGGTAGCAGCAATAAATTGCAGATTATGGATAGTTTCAGTCCAATGCTAACCGGACAGTCCATATCAGTCATTGTCCAAAACCTGAACTGAAACTTCAGTCCATATCATCAGAAGACGTGACCCAACATTCTTCTGCAGTTCTGCTCTGCTTCAGTTTTTTTCTTCTTCTTTTTGGCGCCTCAAATCACCAACAATGTTCCCGGAGGTGACAACTTATGATTAGAAATGGGACATTTTGTGAAATAAACTATTTAGTCTCTGGAGGCATTGTGCTGCAACACAACCAGAAAGAACTGCTGCTTATTTAATTGTTACAGTCACAACCATCAATTACAAAATCACTGACAAATAGAGGAATGCCATTCAACCAAATGCGTCTACTTTCACTCGATATTAGCCAAATGCCATTCAACCAAAAGCACAAGCAGTCCACTGCTCTGCTAAGGAAGCTATTAGCCTATTACTATGATAAATCTGACTTGTAAGTTGTAACGCGGTAAGAAATCAATATAACAGTAACTTGCTGGGACTATCAATGCTTAACTACAAGAAATGTTGTAATTCTGTCACTTTTAAACTTTTTTATAATGGCCCCGTTCGCTTCGCTGAAAAAACAAGACGAAACACTGTTCCGACTGATTTGTTGTGAGAGAAAAACACGGTTCCGGCTGAAAAAACAAGCTGAAAAGTACGGATTATAAGACAAGTAAACAGTGTGATTTTACATGCTAATTCAGAACTCTGTTTATTGCACAGGGTGCTCAGACATGATGAGCCAATCCCTCTTCATCGTTGGAGAAATTGGGGGTAATGACTACAACCTACCTCTTCTCTCCAGAGTGCCGATTGAAAAGATCCACTCATTCACACCAAGTGTCGTTGCCAAAATTTCTTCAACAATCACCGTGAGCATCTGTGTCATTTTACCTGTTGCTGCTGCTGAGTGCTGACGTAGTAAGTAGTATATAAATAGTAATGTAACTGATTGGAGTTTGCAGGAATTGATTGGGCTAGGAGCCAAGACTCTGGTAGTTCCTGGGAACCTCCCAATTGGGTGTGTCCCAAAATATCTGTTGATATTCAAGAGTGATGACAAAGAAGATTATGAGCCAGAGACAGGCTGCCTCAGGTGGATGAACGAATTTTCAGAGTACCACAACAAGCTTCTCTTGGAGGAGCTGGAGAAGCTGCGCAAGCTTAATCCTGGTGTGACTATTATCTATGCTGACTATTATGGAGCTGCAATGGAAATTTTCCATTCCCCTGAACGATTTGGTGAGTTAAGATATTTGCCTTTACTTGTTACTAGTATTAAATATGCAGTACAGCTTTGCTTTGTATACAGGCCAGAATGGGATACAAGATAACATCATTTAGCTTTAGCATCCTCTTCTACTTTTCTTTGATATCTGCATTGCTATCATTGCCATCATGGTGCAAATACATTATGTGCAGTACCAATAAACATAACATAACTTAAATTGTGTTCCTAATATACATAGCATACATTGCCATCACTGTGGTTTAGGTATCGAGGAACCTTTGGTGGCTTGCTGCGGTGGAGAAGGACCCTATGGTGTGTCCCTTTCTACAGCCTGTGGATATGGAGATTACAAGGTGTGTGATAATCCAGACAAGTATGGCTCGTGGGATGGTTTCCATCCATCGGAAGCTGCATACAAAGCCATTGCATTGGCCTTTTGCGAGGGACATACACACAACCATCTATTGCTTCCACCACCAGTTCCTGTCCACAGCTCACTGAGCTCGGCTCTTCTGTTGAATACAAGGTCCTCTACGATTTATAGTTTTGTAGCTACATTTAGTTGTTAGTGTTATATTTATATAAATACATGTGGTTATATATTTAATCTATTTTTTGGATGCGTACAGTATGGTTAAAGATGTAATGATTTGGACAATTTTGCCTGATTACAGAGCTGCGGTACTGTACTGCACTTCTCGGCTGTGGCCCACGTGATTGGTTGGGTTTTGTTTTACCTACTCTTTTTCAGTTACAGGTTTTACTCGTCATTGTTTACTGTTTCTCTGTAGTTTCAATGCTTTATTATTCCTTTAGTTGTATATGCAGGTGTAGTTTCTAACTTCTGAGCATCCTCCCTTTTGTATAGTGCTAGAATTAGGTATTAAAAGGGGGTGCTTTTACCGTCCATAGAAGGTACCAAGAGGAACCACAGAATTATACTTGGGGAGTCCCGAAACTCTTGGTACCTCCCAATGACTTCAAAATGGCCGACTAAAAGGAGTGGATACCAAATCTTTGATAATCTTGGCTGGTACAGCGGAGAGCCAGAGATGTTATCTACTTCATTTCCATTTATTGTAAATGTAACCATTGATTCTTCCGATTAACGTGATGCTTAGTTGAACTTCTGCATTATCAGGAAGTAAACAGCTTTCTAGTATTTCAGAGTCTTCTTGCTGTGCCTGTCTTTCCTTGGCAACTCCTTTATTTTGTGCTCAATCGTGCGGAGCAATTTCTATTCACGATTATGATCGATCCTCTCACAGATCTAATGGTGGGCGATCAAGAGCTCACATAGGCCACCCTGAATCGGCGATCACACATTAACTAAGCGCATGTTTGGAATTGCTCCACGAACTATGCTCTACAAGCTCCACCGTAGAATAGCTCCACAAAAACCTAGAGCTTGTGGAGCATCCTTTACATGCTCTCATAACTCCACATTTAGGTGCTCTCACAAACCTGAAAAACACAGAATGGAGCAGTCCCAATCACCTCCTTAACTAAACCAGCGGGGGAGGGGGCTTCCCCTATATGTTCCTGCTTACTCATGTCATGTGATGGTACTACGTAATACTCCAACTATCAACAAATTACCAACAAAGACAAAGACATATACAAGAATGGAGAAACTACTTATACCCAATCTTTTATCGATGGGCTAGAATAACATCAAATCCTAGCTCAATGCCTAAAAGATGCCAAAATCAAGGCGATTGTTTAAACAAGATTCAAATAAAAAAGGGTCTCAACTTGTGGTCGTTGACTTCCGGATTGCCTGCGACAAATGCACACCACATGTCCTCTATTCCACTCGTTTCTTTTCTCTCGGCTATGGCGAGATGTTTTAATTAGGGTTAAGTCCAATTTACACCCTCCAACTTGCAGCAAAGTTCGGATTTCAACCTCGAACTTCAAAACCGGACAACTTTGTAGTTTTGAAGTTCAATTTACACCCTCCGGTTTTGAAGTTCGATGTTGAAATCCGAACTTTGCTGCAAGTTGGAGGGTGTAAATTGGACTTAACCCTTTTAATTACATTAGAGATTCGTTTCTTTTCTCTCCTCTCGGCAAGATTTTTTTAATTACATTAGAGACGCGGACAATTAACACTTACACCCTATCCTTATGAGCATGTCCGAAAGACGGAGAGAGTCACCACAGGCATCGATAGCCTACAACAATGTCAAATTCTTAAATAAATTCAAGAAAAATGCAAAGAACGTAAATATGAGTGCGCAGGTTATATGACAAGAAACCCAACTAGTTGTTTGCCTCTGTTTATTGTTATTGTAGCTTTCGTTGCTTAGCCTTCCTATGAATCACGAAATATGATAACCTGAGCTCTGAGAAATATGGTCAACATGCATATTAATTATGAATTTTATTATTTTTAAACATAGAAAACCACCTATGAAACTAGCCAATGTATCAAATTTATTAGGTTAGTATGTTCGTTACCTAATTTCACAATTAATGGTTGTGGGGGTACGATCCCGGATACCTACGGCAAACTACATGGGCTACGCTGCCAGGGGTGGTCCAGTCCATAAGACGAAACCTTGCGGAGCATGGCGCTACTCGGCGCGCCCCGCAAGACACCGGGAAGATATCCTGAAGATACGGCGTAATCTGTTAGGATATGTTTCGATCCCGTGATCTCTGTAATCTGTTATTACTTACTGGTTATCTCATAGATCTATCCGACTTGTAACCCTACGCCGGCTATATAAGGCAGGTAGGGGATCTCCTCAAAACACATGCAATATCATACGATAACAATACAAACCAATAGACCACAGGAGTAGGGTATCACGTCATGCTGACGGCCTGAACATGTCTAACTCTTGTGTCTCTGTTGCATTCTTATTCTTGATTACGCACCTCTACCGATCAATCTACCTTCGTGAGAAACCCCTCGGAGGACTACCGAGCATCTTTTGTCGACAGTTGGTGCGCCAGATAGGGATGTACGCTTGATCCCATGACGAGCCAGATAGAGCTCAAATCAACGTTGCGTTCTCGGCTACGGCCTCGGGCACCCAATCGCTCGGTACAGGCTACCGCTGGGGAGGTGCACCTACGCCAACCGCGATCAGGATCCCTGCCTCCGAGTTGAATCCGGTGGCGCCTGCAGAGGAATCTGCTCCTGTGAGTTTGGTTTCGAGCTGTGGCCAACGACCACGACACCGGGATCCTGTACACCGTGATGGCTGACTTCAACGACCAGTCATGAGGACCGGACGCGGGGTTTAATCTACAAAACCATGCATGCAAGCCAATTTGCACGTATACATGCACCATGCACGCAAGACGATTAATCAACCAGCTAGCAATCAAGAGCACATACGCATCTACAAGATCCAACCGGCTAGGAGCCATACTGCATGCAAGCAAGGTCTTGATCAGGAGCCAGCGGCCGCGTCTCTCTCTCTACCTCGCTCATCACTACGTTTCCGACGGGTCATCTGGAGGACCCGCAACGACGGCCGAGCACTAGCGTGTGCAGTCCCGCGGCGCAAAGGCTGTATCCGAGGAGTGCCATGCCATCGCCAACATCGCAGTCCGGCTCAGGATCACGGTCACGGCGGGCGTGCAGAACCGTACGTTGCAGGGAGTCCCCGCACAGACGGGCTCTATCCGACTACGTCAAGCCGTCCGAGCCGCAGCCGTGTCGAGCCACCAGCGAGCCGCCCGAGCCATCAAGCGAGCCATGCTGCGTCGCAACGATGATCGCCGTGAAGAACGGCGCTGTGACAACTGCGACCACCATCATGATGATAAGCCAGGAAGCTCGAGGGCCGGGCAATTTTGTCGACGCCAACCAGATAATGCCATACGCCACTGACTAGATGTTCTGTCTAAAGCTAAGTCATACTTTAATATTTTTCTAAATATTTTCCAACCTTCATATATCTCCATGATATTTCTCCGAGCTATTTTCTCCATACTTGCTCTTCAAACGATTTTCGTCCATGTATACCATCTTAAAGATGACATACGTTTTTACCTAAGGCAACTTCCCGAACAGTCATGTTGACGCTCGGATGTCCCCAGATACAGCCCTGTCTTCAGCTCCTCCCTACACGTGCATGAGCGTCTGCCCTCTGCGTTATGGGTGGTCGGCAGCGGCTCCTTAGCAACGCTTTGTTCTTCCTACACGCACACGAGCCCTGTGCTCCGCGTTATGGTTAACAGGCTAGCTAGGGTTGAGGACTCAGCTACACACTAACTGATTGGACGGTTTATATTAAATATAAATACATCTTCAGAATAAACACTAAGTGTTCATATCAACTGATCACCGAGCTGCATACGCTATTTTATCACCATTACTGATTCTTCTTCGGAGTTCATCTATTTTATTTTTACGTCGTGTACTACCTACTCTACACATTTGTTTCATAGGGGAACAGTTCAGTCAACAAGCTTATGCTCAGAGACTAGACAAAATGATCCTCGTCTGGGTGGTCGGACAACCTATCGGACGGACTTCACCGCCAATCAACTAGTCGGACTGCTCGGCACTCACTCCTACTCGGCGTTCACTTCGTTGCCGACTAGTTGGTTGGACTGCTCATCGCATGGGCTTCATTGTTAGCTATGCTAGGGGCTCGCCAGCTACGCTGGAAACTCCTCAGTGTTCGGATTCTTCTACTCAACGCTCACTTCACCTCTGACCAGTTGGTTGGGTTGCTCGGTGCTTATTTCTTCGCTAACCAACTGGTCGGATTATTCGTCGCTTCATCATCGGCTATGCTGGGGCTTACTAGCTAAGCTGGGGACTCCCTAGGTGGTCGGATCTTGCTACGTCTCATCGGTGTGCTATCAAGCTGCTCCATGCTCTTCGGATCAGGGTGCTGATCTTGGGCAGCACGTCTGGGGTCGTGATATGCGTATGTCAGATGACGTCGGCAAGCTTTCATTAAAAATTCTTTGACCCTGCTACAAGATATCTTCAAAATGTTCCAGCAGGCTCGGAGACTACGTGTGTACGCGTCATCTCGCGATGACTGTATTTATTTCTACACTGGTTTCGAACGACATTGGGGACTGGGTCAGCACCTGAATACTACTACTTTGGACCCTGGCACCATGTGACTACGTCACCTACTGCCAGGCTTGAAGATTAAGTGGCTACACTTCACCTGGTGGTGAATGTAGTGCTTATTTCTTGATTTAGCCTTCTTATTGACGGAGTCTAAGTGGCTACACTTCTCCTAAGGGGAAGAATTTTTTTAATTTTATCTTGAGCCCCTTACATCCTTCTGACAAGCCTTACTTAGCTAAGTCCGAGGTCTCCTGGTCGGCTTCGACTTCCACTGCTCGGATCGCCAGTTAAACTGGTCGGCTTCACGTTAAACTGGTCGGACTTATTCAAGACGGCGCTGCTCAGAGGATACAAGGCGCTCGGGGACTAGCTGTGTGGGGGGTATAACCCCAGGTACCCACGGTAATGGACATGGGCCGCACCACCAAGGGAGGTCCAGCCCATAAGATCATGGCCTACGGTGCTCGACTCTGGTTGATGTGCACCGCAAGGCAATCAGAAAAATTTTGAAGATAGAGAAGGATCTGTTCGGATATGATAGATATCGTATTTTTTGTAAATACTTACCATATAACCGAATAGATCTAGATCTAACCGACTTGTAATCCTACCCCCAAACTATATAAGGCGAGCAGGGACCCCCCTCGAAATCATCTCATATTCAATACAATCAACCAAAGACACAGGACGTAGGGTATTACGTCGATCAGACGGCCTGAACCTGTCTAAATCTTGTGTCTTGTCACCATCTCGCTCCTGATCTTGCTCACCTCTACGACAA